CACTTCAACACACAATAGGGTTTGTTGTTGTTGCTGTTTTTGTATTTTTTAGGAATATGGTTAGAGCAAACAGGAAAAGCGGGAAACCAAGTTGAGACGGTGCAAGAGGTGATCCTCAAGATCAATGTACAGTGGTACCTCGGGTTACAGACGCTTCAGGTTACAGACGCTTCAGGTTACAGACGCTTCAGGTTACAGACTCCGCTAACCCAGAAATAGTACCTCGGGTTAAGAACTTTGCTTCAGGATGAGAACAGAAATCTTGCTCTGGCGGCGCGGCGACAGCGGGAGGCCCCATTAGCTAAAGTGGTACCTCAGGTTAAGAACAGTTTCAGGTTAAGAACGGACCTCCAGAACAAATTAAGTTCTTAAACCAAGGTACCACTGCATTTAAGAGTTGATCCTTAAGATCAATGCACATGTCTAAAGAGTTTAGCCAGAATTCAGTGCAGAAATAGGCTTTTCTTTACATTAAGTATGCTAAAATTCCCACACAGCTACTGTGCAGAGCAGAGATACGGAGTCTAGCCAAGATGAAACAATAAAAATAGCTCAGGGTCAACTTTAAAGAATCCTTTTATTCTAAGGGAGTGCCAACCACACATTTCAGAGCAAAGACAGGAGATGCATTTTTGATGGTTTATGCCTCTCAATGGCAGTTGGCCACTGTGAAAACAAGATGGCTCTTTGGCCAGCTTCACCAGGGCTCTTACAATGCCCTTACCAGTCATTAACTAGTACTGTGTGCAGATAAAGAGAACGGATTTACCCAAAGTAAATAACCTGAACACTCTTTGTTGGAACTCACTGCTGGAATTTCTGAAACAAGTACATCTTCATATTCCAACTTAATAGACCATAAACCAGCATAGCTTTCCAAAAATCTACTGGGGCGCTCAGAAGAGCAAAGCAAAACAAAAAACATAAAACAGCAGCTAGAATATTGAACTAAGTATCCAGCAGGATGTCCTCAAGTTGCTCCTTGGCTTCAGAGCTGAAAACTTTGTCAGATACAATATAAAAACATGACTGATTTGATGTTGCTTTGTAATCTGAGAAGGGTTTCCCCCTCGTTACAACCCTGGATAATAGAAACAGCTGTCTTAGCTGGCTGCTATAACCAGATCC